CATTGATTTCCAAGTTTATTTTTTCTTCTTTTCAGGGGAAATGCTTCTATTGCTTCAATGTAATGCATCATAAAAACTCCTCGGACATTCTCTTGCAAAATGTCCAAAATAACCACATATGTAGCATTTGTTATCAGAGACCCCTATGGCGAGTTATATGCAGACATTATTACATTGTCAGCCAAGCATAATCTTTTTTGATTATTTAATAATAATGCTGATAATGACAACATGTTGACAATGGCAATGGTGATGATACTGGTAAATCTTGAATTATATGATTGTTGTTGTTATTACTGTTTGGAATTTTTTTAGTGCCATTCTAATCGGATCTTATTTGTATCGTTTATGTTAACAGTGACAAATTCATCATCATTAGTGTTTATTACGTCAATAGTTCTATCTATTTCAATTATTCGATTATTATGGTTATTGTTATTTTTTACATCAATATAATTTTTTTTTTGGTTTTTCTAAATGATTGTGATTAATAAATACGTCCTTCCAGAAGTTGGGATTTTTAACATGGTTATCCAAGTAGTAAGTAAAGTTCTATCAAATGAACTATAACTGTTAAAAAAAAATTTTTTTTTTGATGATGACGATGAGATGCATGATTTTGCATATTAAATTAAAAATGAAATAATAAATAACAAAGAAAAAGGCGCAAGTTAGTTAAAGTTGTAAAGCGATAAACGAAAGGGGAACGAGTGAAAATATTTTTGGACAATTTTTTTTTATGCTTGATTCGCTACGTAATGTTTCTCACATTTCTTTTTTCTTTGTCAGCATCTTTGTACTCTTCCTCCCTCAACTCTTCCAGCCTCTTTGCATCTTCTAATTCTTTTCCAACTCTCTCGACTGTAAATTAATTAATTATTTAAAAAAAATTTTTTTTACCGATTAAATCACGATCAATGATTTCGTTACACTCATCAAAAATCCAAAAATCCCCTTTAAATTTATAAAGAAAAGTTGACTTGCAAGATAAAATTTTTTGTGATAAACGGACTTGTTGAAATGTCGTCCAATCATATGTCTGACATGTGACCTAGTCTCTTGTTTTTTATTTAATAATTAAAAAATTTTAATTAATCAATTTTTAACTAATTAATTAAAGCAATCGGTAAATTAAATAATCTATATTAATAACTCAGAGCCCTGCTTGAGAATAGAGGAAAAAAAGTTGGTATAAAATTATTTCTTTACAAATGATTCGCTTTGTAATAAATATCTTTACAATTTATTTAAAACAAATCGATTCTTTTTTGTTTAAATAAAACACTTTTTGTGGTCGAAAAAATTAAACAATAATAGTAGTAGGGTTTTAATCGTCCGTTTGGTTTTTGCCCGCAGTTTAGAAGCTTTGCTCGCAATTTTTAAGTTTCGTCAGAAAATTTTCATTGGCGAAATTAAACCAAAATTACCTAAATGCCTAAACTATGAGTTAGTTTCGGTCACTATCATTTATGTATTCTGAAGATTGATTAAGCATATTTTTTTCATTAAATAATAATTTTTATTTGTATTCATTAGGAAAATAATTTACATTAATTAGAGCTAGCATTAGCAATCCTAGCTGCTTTTTTTTGTGATAAGAACTAACCCTAGATATCCATGACTTAATTTGTTGGAGAGAAGTGCAGTCAGACCTTCATAAATGCACCCTCCATAAATGCACGTTATGTCTTGGTCCCAGCCTCGGGACTTAGGGATAAATGCACACCCTCCGCACGTATTCATGTAACTGAATAAATTTAGAAATCATCGGCAAACTTTTTTGATTTGATTGGATAATTTCCAATATGTAATGCAATCCAATTTCATGAATTTGTATCACAAAATGAACTTTCATCCTATTTGATGAAATGCAAGTTGATGAATTTTTGAATATACCTGAAGAAAATATTGTCTTTGAGGTTCCAGATGATGATAAAATAATCAAAGAACTTGCAGAAATATAAAAATAAACGAATATACCTGCAGACAATTTAGAGAAGATGACATTAAGCCTTGTGGAAGCATTAAAGGTCTTGAAACTGTACATTCATTTTTATTACAGCAAGAAAAATAATGCTACAAACAAATAAATTGATTAATAAAATTGAAAGATATATCAATATAAAAAAAGTAAATTCATCAAAACGAACTACAATGTATAGTTATTTTAGTATTACTGTATTTAAAATATTGCGTATCATTTAATGATGTATGAAATCGCTTTTCTTCATAAATGCACACCCTCCATAAATGCACACTGTCCCTTGGTCCCAATTTATGGAGGTCTGATTTTAATACTATTGTTTTTTTTTGCCGATCATAAACGGGTTTTATTTTTTTTTGTTAGCTGGTCAGCTATAGCTAAAATAAAATAAGAATAGACGAACTTTCACAAGAGGAAAAAAATGCACGGATTCAAGGCCATTTAATGTGCATCCTCGTCTAAAGAAGCTAAGCTGATATTGTCATCTTAATCGTAATTAATGTACGAGAGGGGTTATAGTATGTTTATCAAAAATTTTCTACGGCAAAAGACTCAATAGACCAATTCTTTTCTTTAGTGGCCAATGATGTGTGATGAAACTTTTGACTTTAGTTATTGACGTAAGCAACTAAAGCATTTGCTTCTAACCAAGGGTATTTTGACGACTAGACACAAGTAAAAACCCTTGTTGTGGGTAAACCATTGACGAAAGTAAAACAATTGATAAAAGTAGTAGGTAAAAGCAATGATCAAAGATAAAATAAATAATTGCTCATAATAAAAATAAATGGATCGGCAAAATCTTAAATGTCTGAGGAACTGGCAGACCTTTTTCAACTGTTTGGATCATAATCATCATTCAGCACAATGTAAATATTGTAATAAGTAAGGAATACTATTGTGGTAGACCACAAAAACTCATTGTCCAGGGTGTACTTCAGAAGTTAGGGGAGATTGCCTTAATGAAATTAGTAGGCAACTTTATTAACTCACAATTTCTAATTATTGCAAACCATTTTATTATCAATCGAGAAAAATGAATCAATCAATAGAGCTCTGATCAAAGATTTTGTGGCATATCGTTTCTATTATTGATAAACCATACTTTATCGATACATTACAACAGCTTCGTACATCAAATATTAATAGTAAACTAGATAAAAATTTTATGATTTAAATTTAGGCAGTTTTTAATATTATGTTATTTTTAAAGCAAATTTAAATTTACTCCCGTTATAATGACATTCACTATATCCCGTTATACGAGTATAAGGACATAATTTGACAAAAAAAATTTTTTATAATTATAAAATCTATCCCGTTATTATTATAGTGACATCCGTTATAAGGACATGTCAGTATAACGAAAGAACCAATCAAATCCCACCGATCACTATGACAAATTAATAATATTAATAATATTATAATTTTCTGATTATGTTATGTTTAATGTTTTCAAATTACTAATATTAAATCAAGTTTATTTTTATTAACAATAATTAATTTACAAATTATTTTGGTGGTAACAAAGTATCTTTACGTTTTTGATTGATCTCTTATTAACAATAACGAAAATTATATAAATTATTTTTTTGATGATTATGAAGTAACTATACTTTCAAAAAAAGACAAAGAAATTGAAGTATACATTTTTAACAACAAAACAAATTTATTGATGATTGTTTTTTTTTTGGTAACGCTTTCAAACTAGACTATTTAACAACAATAAAAGAATTATGAAATTATCCAATATTTACACTAAAACGATTTTGTTTTTAGTTTTATTTTATCATTACATAACCTTTTTTATGAACCACGTGATTGTTATGAACTTTCATTATAAGGACATCTCATTATGCGGACATTTTGCTTGTATCAGGAGTGTCCTTATAACGAGAGTGACTTGTAGCGCCATCATCAAGTTACACTGATGGTTGGTAACATAATTGTTAAGACTAGATGGACATTTTTTGTCAATTGTAATTTTCGTTTTCCATAGTGGCATTCTTTTAATTTGATTGTAAGGGTATGATTTATCAGATGATTCCCAAATAAACTCCACCTATCCACAGCATAATGAGATATATTTTTTGACAAAGGAGTGTGTTATGATGTAAATGGTTTTTTTATTGACAAGGTTTCTCTTTTAAGTCGTCTGCTGGTACTTGATAATCCATTACCATCCATTGCTTTCAGTAGCGCCATTAAAAATATGTTTCTTTGGAAATTTGGTTGAGCGACTACAATTACAAAACTTTATTGCCCCACAATATTCATTAGAACCATTATATTTCATTTTTCTTTGTAATTGTAAATTTTTTAAATTTACATTTCCATTCATTCCTTTTATAGGAATTCAATAGCCTTATTTTCATTAGCATTGTGTGTTTTTAATTATTATTATTATAATAATAATTATCCATAAATCACGGATATCCGGCTCTTTAAAAGAAAAAAGAGGTTTGAAACAGGTTTTAAACTGATTATCCCAAATAATTCTTCAATTAAAAATAAAAAAATTCAAATAAAAAACTAATTACATCCTTTTGCGTAACGATGCAATTTTTCATAAAATAGACTATTTCGTGGCCAAATGGTGCATTGATTGAGTAGTTTAATAAAATACTACTAGAATATAATAAATAGTCTTTGATATCTTCCACTTGTGTATCGAAAAATTGCGCATCCAAATTCAAGGGTTGAGTCACGTAGTGCCAAAATGGTATTTGTTATTTGCATAATAATAAATAATATTATTGCAATTGTCCAAACGTTCTAAATCCGTTTTGAATCCAGTCGCAATCCGGTTTGTCTGTTTAGAATCCGAATTCGAACTGGTTTGACAAAATAAATTATATAATATTTATGAAATTTTGCTTTAAATGGAATGAATGGAAAATATGCGCATCATACGAGGAAACTAGATTATGCTTTATTGTTATATTTTTAATTTTTTTTGTGAGAACATATAAAGCTACAAATTACTTACTTGCAAATCACCCACAAAATTCACAAAATGTTACAAAATCAAGAACAAAACAACAATAAATCTGGAAATAAAGAAAAAAGAACAATATTAATAATTGGCAGAACCGGGGGTGGGAAATCCACTTTGGCTAATGTACTTAGCGGTACTAATGATTTTAAAGAAAGTTCAGGTTCTATTAGCGAAACTAGAAAAGCCGATGTTCGAGAATTTAAGATTAATGGATTATTATATAAACTCATTGATACGGTCGGTATTGGTGATACACAATTAACTACTCAAGAAGTTCTTAATGAATTAGCAGAAGCTGCTCATTCTATGAAAGATGGTTTAAATCAAATCTTATTTGTTGCAAGTGGAAGATTCACCAAAGAGGAGGTAGAAGCCTATGATTTATTAAGAGCCATTATTTTTGACAAGAATGTTATCAAGTATACTACCATTGTACGAACTAATTTTTCCAAATTTGAAAATGTTGATGAATGTCAAAATGATAGAGAAAAGCTGTTTAAAGAAAATGAAAAACTTGCAGCTGTAATTAATGGATGTAGGGATATTATATATATAGATAATCCACCATTGGATGGTCGTTCTAAAGAAATAAACAAAACAACCAGAGATGAATCAAGAAAAAGGCTTTTACTTTATTTATTTACTTGTAAAGATATTTATAAACCAAAAAATCTAGATAAATTGAATGAAAGAATTGGAGAGTACATGACAGAAAAAGAAATATTAGAACAAATGGTAAATGATATGAAGGAACAACACAAAAAAATAGATGAAAAAATGAAAAAAGCTGATGAAGAATTCAAGAATAAAATTAAAGAAATGGAGGAAAAAATGAGAAATGATAGAGAAGAAGCAGAAAAGAAAATGGAAGATATGAAACAAGCGATGAAAGAAAAAAAATTAAAATTAGCAGAAGAAAATTATGAGTTAAAACTAAAATTGTGTAAATGTGAATTTGAGATAGAAAATTTGAAATTGAAGATCGAAAAAAAGGAGATGGGGGAAGAAAATAAGAAACAAGAGGAAGAAATAAGAAAACTTAAAGCTAAAATTGAAGAAAATACAAAGGAACATACTAAACAATCTAGTTGTACCTTGTTATAGTTTGTTTTATCTTTCTTGATTACATTATTCAATAAATTCCAGATTATGAAAATTAAGCTTCAAAAATATATAGTGTCAAGATTAATGTTAATGCTTTATTATTAACCTTCAAATGTATGAAATTCATTCATGTCTAGGAAAATTCTCCGAAAATTTGTCTAAAAATATTTTACTGAATAAAAAAATTTAAATTGAACAAATATGCTGAGGTTTTGAACATGTGATAATAAGTGTTCTGTTGTTTGAATCTTTTTGTAAACAAGCATCATTTTTAATAAAATTTGAATCAGCCTTGAATGAGTCAACATGGTGTATAAAAATCATATGCTGGACCACAAATAACTAAGTTGTTGGTGTTCATAGAAAAATATTGACTGGTACTATTCAAAATTATATTGATATAATCACAAGAAATCGAAAGAATGGGCAAAGGGAATTGAAGCGATTGTCGACAATAATAGATGTTTAACGAAATTACTTTTTGGCGGAGAAAATATATCAAATCAAAATAGTGCTTTTATTTAATTATTATTATGTTCTTATGCAATGTTTGTTTAAAAGTGCGCCCGACTTTTCATTTTTCTTTGTAATCATATTTAGTGATTTGTGATAATACCTCGGCGTGTTTATTATGCTTATTATATGATTAATTTGTGGTTCGTGAGAAAAGTGTATACCGCACCACATTTTCTGAAATCCAAGGTTGTTAAGTATAAAAAATATATATCAAAATAATAAATAATGTGAGATTGCATATTTAATAGCAATGATTTCCTAAAATTTCTATCACGTATCACGAATTAAAGTAATTGTTTTATTTTGACCATTAAGGATTCTGATTCCTCCTACTGTGATCTTATTTTCATTCTAGTAATAAAGAAAAAAGATTTAGTATTGTGTTTTAATGTGTAATTAGGTATAGTTTAGAGCAATTTGATGAATGCACCATATGTACAGTTCAGATTAATAAAAAAGACTACCTTTTGTTTTATGTTTTTGTGAGTATATAAAATATATAAAACAGAAAAATTCCAAATTATTTCAAGACCAAAACAATAATGATGTTAATAAACTTGGAAATAAAGAAAAAAGAACAATATTAATAATTTTGACAGAACCGGAGGTGAGAATTCCTCTTTAGCTAATGTAATTTGCGGTACTAATGATTTTAAAGAAAGTTAGGTTCTGATAGCGAAACTAGAAAAGCTGATGTTCGAGAATTTAAGATTAATGGACTGTTATATAAGCTCATTGATACAGTCGGTATTGGTGATACACACTTAACTCTTCAAGAAGTTTTTAATGGATTAGCAGAAGCTCTCATTCTATGAAAGATGGTTTTAAATCAAATCTTATTGTTGCAATTGGGTGATTCACCAAAGAAGTAGAAGCCTATAATTATTAAGATCCATTATTTTGACAATAATGTTATCAAGTATACTACCATTATACGAACTAATTAGTGGATGTAGAAACATTGTATATCTATATAATCCACCATTGGACGGTCGTTCTAAAGAAACAAAGGAACAACACAAAGAAATAGATGAAAAAATGAGAAAAGCTGATGAAAAATTTGTGAATAAAATTAAAGAAATGGAGGAAAAAATGAGCAAAGATATAGAAAGAACAGAAAAGAAAACGGATGCTATGAAGCAAAAAATGAAAGACAAGCCAAAAAAAAGTTTCAATTTAAAACAAATCAGAAGTAGAGATAGAAAAATTGAGATGGATGCAAAAAAAGCGAAACTAGATGAAGAAAAAATTACAAGCTGAAGCAGAAAAAAAAACAAAGGAACATCCTAAAAAAGTATCTAACTGTAGTTTATCTTTCTCGATTATCAATAACATTTTTTTAAAGTATATACCATATTTATTAGTTTTTCTATAAAAAGAGTTACTAAACACGAATTACACGAAATCTAACTTTAACTTTAATTCTAAACCTAAATTCTAAATTTAACTATAATTCTAATTCTAAATTCTAATTCTAATTCTAATTTTAATTCTAATTTTAATTCTAATTTTAATTCTAATTCTAATTCTAATTTTAATTCTAATTCTAATTCTAATTCTAATCCTATTTTTTAATTCTAATTCCATCTTAAATAAAACTACCACTACTAGATTTTACCTCGCCACCAAAAGCCTTCATCCAGTCCGTACCGTGAGTCTTCTGCCTTCCATGCCAAGTAAGTAAAAGAGCTATCGAAAGAAGAAGAAAAGATGATGATAAAGAGGGAATAATAATAAAGATAGGATGATGACAAAGGTGATGATAAAGGTGATATAATGAAGGTTATAAAAAAGATGACGATAAACAATTATTTCAATAAAATTATAATTGATTAATGATCAATTACCAACTATCTGGACAAACACCAAGATAAAAAAATTCAAATTGTCTCTCCTCATCGATTCAACTTTTATCTCCCCCAAGTCGGCACTAACAAGAATTTTTCCTCCTTGTAGCCGTTTTTGAGATTAACGTGCGCTCACACAAATTAAAAATTGCCCTAACTTCAAAATTCCCATAAAGAAAGAATAAGATCATAATAATTAACACAATGTTATAATCAATCAACCAAACATTGTTAAATAAATAATAATAGGATATTTGATTGATTATTTATTTACCTAACGCTTATAAAAATCAGCATAAACCTCAACAAAGGAAAATAAAAAGCGGTTCCAGAAAACGAGAGAGGATAAAAATGGAAAGTGGATATGAAAGTGGATATGAATATGGAATTAAAGTGGAAATACATATGTATGTGGAAAGAAAGAGAAGATGGAGGGAAAACAGAGGCGTGATGAAGGTGGATGTGGAGATGGAGAAAATTATCAAAGTGGAAGTAGAGGTGAAGGTGAAAGTAAAAGTGAAAGTGAAAGTGAAAGTGAAAGTGTAAAAGAAAATGGAGATGGAGATGGAGATGGAGATGGAAGTGAAGATGAAGATGAAATAAAATGGAGATGAAAATGAAGGTGGTGGAAATGAAGTTATACTAGAATTTTCAAACGACTATTAAGGAAGTGATAAAATGTTGACTAAACCGCCTACAATTAATTAATATCAATTTTAATGTCAAGAGCAAATTATTGTTTAATTTCTTCAATTTGGAGATTCACATACTTTTTACTTTTTGACAACATTATCTACAAACCAAATCTGCTATTTCCAGATAGTACTCTACCTATAATTAGTTAGTAATAATAATATGACTATATATTAATATATTAATTTTAAAAATATTAATTTATTAATAGAACTCGCATATATCATTAATATTATTATTTATGATACTTACTGCCATGTGAAATAATAAATGCCTGCGCACAATGAATAAGTTTCTGACCCTTTTATTATATGGTCAAAGGTCCGGTGATGCCCCGCAAACAGTTGCCTCTTCCTGAGGTTTTGTTGCGGTTCTGTTGGAGACCAATGGGGGTGAGGAAGAATTAAAACTAAAACCAATCCTTGGCAGTAGAGTGTCTCTTTTATTTTTATGAAAATAAGAAAATGAATAAATAATAATAAAATAAAACAGAAGTTTTCTCAATATAGTTCTTACAGAACCAATCAACAGAATGTGTTTATTCTTACCTTTATAAATTATAATAATAAATAATGGTGGTGGAAGGTCTTGCCGTCGAAAGTCTTGAAGATTCTTGCTGTTGAAGAAGTTTCTTGTTGAGAAAGAAAATAATAATATTATTAGTAAACATATTATTATTTATTACTAATTACAAATGTATGGAATAGGGGTAAAAAGTAAACAATACACATTATTAATAATAAAGAAAATCATCTTCGCGTTTTCCAAACAAAGAAAACTATATATTCCTATTGGCTGATTGATGATATCTTTAATATCTTTATATAAAGATTTTTGCATTTTTGGTAATGATATTCGTGCCTTTACTATTAACCTTACTCTCGCTTGCTTGATCTCAGCGGAGACCTCATAAATCATTGAATCTTTTAGATAAAAACGCGTCATTTATTTGTTATTCAAATAAGATAATCGAGGATACATTATGTTTTGTATTGTTTAAGGGAAATCGAATTAAAAATATATAGTAAAGTTATATATACAAAAGGCTTGCTGAAAATTATCACGTGAAAGTGACTTTTACCAATGAAATTTAAAGAAAACTTATCAAAGGAAATATTAATTTTTCCATTATTCTTGGGTGGCAGACTTTAGGGTTACTTGTAAAATTGCATTTTTAATTTCTTGGCTAAGAAGTAGAAGTCTAAAATTTTGCTGCAATGAAATATTCATTAATCGTTTGGTTGGATTGATCACCACCCTCTGAGGAATGGATATCATCCTTGGTGGTAAACTAATAATAGTTGGTAGCATTTGCGTCCTCCACTGTGCACCTAGTCCTGCAACTTTGTAGAACCCTCTATTCCTCCAAAATGGAAGTGTAAGGCCAAAAAGAACAAATCATGAGAATTATAGCAATGATCTTTTCTATAATTCAATGGTTTCAACTGGTTGATATCATGAAGAATTAAGCTTCAAATTTACTATGTTGAGATGCCAATATTACACATATGAATTTTGCAAGTTTTCAGTATTAACTTATCATTATCATTATTAACACCATAAATATTTTCATAAACACCATTATCATCATCAACACCACACCATCATCACAATAAAATTTAATGACGTTGTATCACAAAATTGGTATTGTGGCGCAGTAAAGTTTGTCCTGAATCGTTGTACGTTTAGACAGTACGTAGATTTTCCGTCTTCCAATCTACCATTTTGTATTTATTGCTCATTTATAATTAGCAAATAAGGGACTTTGTTGAGAAGAAAAACTACTGGATCTTCTGACATAGAAACTATGAGAGAATAGGCAAAACCTAACTAATTATACGGCCTTTCATTCGGTTAAATTCTTACTAAATTCCTAATGCTCCAAGAAGAATGCTAAATTTACAACCCTTAAAATAGATTGATTGTGGGAGAGAAATTAATATGGAATACAAATTTAATAATATTACATTTGGGAGTAAATACCGTGTAACCTTAAACTTTTTTATTTTGATTCTCTAAACAGTTCCGGGAGATACCCAGGCTCAATCTCGTCAAGAAAACAGTAAAAAATAAGCCAAAATATACAATCAAACCTCGTTTCAACGAATTATAATTAAATTCGCGTGATAAAATTTGTTTGAACACGATTAATAATTTTGGCATAAATGCAAGATCCCGTAGATCCGTTGGAACGAGGCTTGACTATATGTATAACCTGTGTGAATTATTGACAAAAACCGGGAAGAAAATGCGGATATAATCTTTTATCATTCTCCCGATGCTCTAAACTTAAATCACCCTAAATAGTTTTAGACGGTTCGTTTCAGGTTTTCTCTAACCTAAGAGTTCTGGATCGCAACATTGAGAGTAATGCATCATTTTTTCTCTAATAATTATTATGTCAATTTGTATTATTTTTTTTTATTATTAAGAATTTAATGAGAAAACTTCGTGTCATATGCTGACAAGTTTATTCGTCCGATCAACCTTTCTTTATTGGTATTAGGACTATGATGAATAATATTAATAATAAAAAGTGTATCTACTTTAATTAATTATTAAATCTATTGATCTTATTCTCATGATTCATTCGTAAAGACTAAATATGCAAGAAAATAAATCAACATACTCTACAGTATTGAGAATGAACTTGCGAACATGAACCAATGGATGTATTGTTCCGATCATTTTTGAATGCATTCATTGCAGGTTAATTTTTCTGAAATAATAAGTTGGCCGTTTGATAAATTCGAGATCAAACGAAATATCTATTAAACGTGGAAATGAATGACAAATATTGATGTTCCAATTGAATTCCCCGAAAATTTAAAAGTGCAGAAACCTATTATAATGGGATTGATAAATTAAATGGATTAATATCCCGATAATGGCGATCAATAATAATGACCAATAATAATAAAAAAATTACTTTTGCCGTCACGTGCACAAATAGCTTGTTTATCAGAAATTCCAAAGTAGAATCCATAATAAACATGATGAACCAAGAGTGCGGATCTTTAAAAAATGATCATTGGGAATTGGAATCTTTAATTCTTTTGGGCAAGCTGCTTCAAGTTCGTGAGGATGTTCTTTTAAATGACCCGGATCAGCCACCGATGGTAAAGCACAAACGTCTTCAACTCCTCCTTTCGCAACAACTCTTTTCACAATAGTTTTACAAATACCAGTGAAATATTATTTGTAAAAAATATTGTTATTTCACAATGTGAAACCTTTTTGAATTACATTTTTTCTACCAGTGCTTATGTCTTTTTTGTTATGTCACATTAATTCATCAATCAATTGATCCGTCAAAATATTCTAATTTCGATAGATAAAAAACCCATTGTTGATCTATAATCTATTAATTCTACTTCTATTTTATGTTTATGTTTCTAAAAAAGGAAAGAAGAAAATTATAAAATAAAAAATAAAAATAATTGATAAAATATAAAAAAAAAGTGTATAATAGAATTGATGTTGAATTGATATTGATGCTTTGTATATTTTGAATATTATGTTTTTTTTGTAGTAACAAACAAATTAAGAACAAATTAGGAAATTCAAAATTTGATTTCGCGTTCGCGTTATTTCGTGTACTTATGACATTCTGTTATGAAATAGTGAACTGTGCCATATGGTATTTAAAATTTTCGGTTCCAATAATGAACTTTATGAAAAATATAAAGCAGTGTCTAGCTCATTTAAATCAACTTGATGAGGATCTAAAAAAGAAGAACCATAGTATTGATGTAATTAATTTTTAAAATGATTAAAAAGTTAATTAATTAATAACTAATAAATAAAATGTTGATAATTACCACTATCATTACTAATGATTGTCACTTTGTTGGAATTAACAGGCCGGGGAAGATTTTCAAACTTTAATAATCTGCTGGTATAAACAGCATTTGGGTGAATTGTTGCAGAAAGTGTTGAAGGATCAAAATTTTTTTTATCCATTTCATAAAATTCCTTCCTATATGATCTTAATTCATCAATTTGTTCTTTAGAATATTTATGCCGTCCAATTTCATAACCATATTCAAGATTGTTTATTAATTCATTGTTAAATGAGTTATTCCAAAATTCGACTATTTCTCCAATCTCTCCAGCAGATGGGCGTTTATCTGGATTAGCATCCATGCATCTGTATGCTAATTCAATGTAGAATTTTGGAGTATTATTTGAGAATCCAGGTCTTAAACCTTCGCATATCTTTGTTGCAAGATTCAAACCATGTGCCAAGTTACTGAAAGGATGTTGACTGGTTGATATTACGGACATCAATACTCCAAAGCTATATATATCTGATGCCTGTGTGTATTGTTCTCCTCTTAATACTTCTGGTGCAACATATGGCAATACTCCATATATGCCATTTTTATTTGATGTTGATGTTTGATTTGCTGGGATTGATAATCCTAAATCTGCAACGTATGAATAATTATATTTGGCACCTTTATGTTGAAGAATATTGCCACTATGAAGGTCACGATGAACAAAATTATGCATATGAATAAATTTCAACCCATCAATAATTCCATGAAGGATTTCAATTTTGTTATTCCATTTTATATTTTTAAAAAATTTTAATAAATAATTTTGAAGACTTCCATTTTTTAAATAGTCCATTACAAATATATATTCTTTTGAAATTGGGTCTTGTGTTATTCCATAAATTAAAATCAGGCTTGATTTATTATGAAACTTGGCGTAATTTTTGAACTACAAAAGGAAATAAAATAAATCAATCTCGATAATAGTAAAGTAGAAAAAAATAATGTGAAATAATTTACCTCATTAAGAAATTCATCAGAATTTTTTTGTGAATTTTTTAATTTTTTTAATGCCACAATCCTATCTTTATTAACCCTTTTTCCATGACTTGCGTATTTCCAACCATTTTTCCAAGTAGTTCTGTATATAGTTGCAAACGCTCCTTCACCTATCTTTTCAATAATTGTTAAATC